TCTCTGCTCCTATGATGCTGCTTGGCCTGCTGTGTTCATCCAGCCCTGCACCTTGTTGTCTCGGATTCTCCAGCATCTGCAGTTCCTACTATCTCCCCAAGTCTATATGGGTTTCCTCTGGGTGCTCCAGTTTTCTCCCACAGACCAAACATGCACAAGTTAGATGGATTGGCTGTGGTAAATGAGGGATTATGGAGATAGGGTGGGGGTTTGGGTCTTTTTGGGATGCTTTTTGGAGGGTTGGTGCAGACTGAACGGACAGAATAGCTTCTTTCCGCACTGTGTAGGGATTTTGATATATCCTGATTAGCTTGGGTTCAAGCACTGATCCCTGTGATACTCCACTGCCTGCCACTCTTGCATTTCCTTCCTGAACATTTTACATTGTCTGATGGTCAGCCATTCCCTTTCTGTCTGTGTAATACTCACTTGCGGTATGACCACCTGCTAAACATGCTATCCATGACATTCTCAGCATTGCGGATGCTCCACAGTGAGTTGACCTGCAACTCCAGCTCTGAAAAGTAGTGAGCCAGTGTCTGTAGCTGGATACACTTCTTGCACATATAATAGTCAGTGACACTGGAAGTGTTCCTTCTTTCTCACATTGCACAAGAGGAGCACACCATGGGTCTGAGGTCTCCCCGACATGAATTCTTTCTAGATTAAGCAGAAATTTCTTAGTGTATTACTTGGGTGGATGAAAATCTGTTACAATATGGGCCCAGCAGCCTTTCTAACCTAGTTTATGTTTAGGTACAAGTTGAGTTTCTTCACTGAACCATTTAGGTCAGGAGGATAAAAATCTGAGTTTTTTATTGTAATTTTAAAATGGGTGGATCTTGTAGAACTTGTCACCTTTGCTTGCCATCAATGTGGTGTTTCTATTATCTGCCAAACTTAATTTTACTGTAGTTTCTAAAACTTGAATGTATGTATCTATGCAGGCATCAGGTTTTTGCTGCATTGGCGAAAGAGTTTTTCACTGCGCCCTTCACAGACCAGATCTACAACTTCCTTATTCCAGCACTGTCTGCAAGAGCTTCCTTTCCGTATGTGTCTTTCTTGAGTGCGTTGTTAATACCAAACATGACGTCTTCAGTGGGACTCACTTTTACCAAGGATATGGCACCTTGGCTTCTGTACTTTGTTCTTGCTGTTGGAGAATCACAGATAGGTATGATATTTTTCCTTCAACTTGTATAATTGTTGAAGAAGCATGTTGCAATCATTTTATGTTGTACTTGCCTTGAGTGACCTAGTGATGGTTTTTTTTTTTTTTGTTTATGATCCAAGTGCAGTATATCCCGTTGGCTGAGGCTTTGTTGTCTTTAGATTGCAGTAGTTTGGACCAGTACATTATCCAAGTAACATTGATGCTGCTTCCTTCTGTGTATGGGTACTTTCATGTGGCTGAGTAGATGTATTTGATCACTGAAGCATGTTACAATCAATTTTCAGAAATTTGGTTGGATCTAACAGCCAAGTTGCTCTTGAGCAAAAGACCTTTTTTGCATTAACTATTTAAGCATAATTTTGTCACCTTAGCATCATGTTACTAATTTTATCCTAACTTACTTTTATAGAGCATTGCTATTTGTTAACTCTGTGTATGTACGTGTAGCAGTAACCTTTACTGTGTTTTTTCATTCTCAATTTAGGAGTTCTGTCTGAGGATGGAATGCTTGTGTATTTAAGGATGGTGCAGATTCTTTTACCACAGTTACCTGTTTCACTGACTGGTTCAAACAGCAGAGAAATTGGTAGTGACTCTGAAAATGAAGAGGAAGAAGAGCGTAAAATGATAACGAGTAACGTAAGAAAAATCCAGAATTGTTATGATACATGATGGGTATTGCTGTGCTAATCAATTATTACATAAATTGTATCTGAGCCTGATCCTGTGCTTGTCTATTATCTATATGGACTTGCTTCACAATAGATTATTGTATAATAGTCGGGCATTATACCTATTAAGCTAGTTGCGGCCAAGTCTTCTGCAACATCTGAACTGAAACCACGCTTGAGGTTTGCTAATTCAGCAGACACAAGGGATTACATTGGTTCTTTACTACTGTTTGAATTACTCTAGGTGAATAGGAGAGATATCTGTAAAATGGAATTAACCTGCTTAAGTGTGCAATATAATTTGGTTTGAAATAGTAAATTATTTTTAAGCTTGTTTCTTCAAAACTATGCATGCTGAGAGCTACTGGGAGAAAATGGTTAAGCATGGTAAAACCAAATGGTTCATCCGGAGAAATGCAGAAACATAGAAAATCGGTGCAGGAGTAGGCCATTTGGCTCTTCTGAGCCTGCACCGCCATTAAATACGATCATGGCTGATCCCTTCAGCTGCTAGGGCCAAGTCCAGCTCCCCTTGAATATAATTAATGAACTGACCCCAACAACTTGCTGTGGGAGAGGATTCCGCAGGTTCACAATTGAGTGAAGAAATTCTTCCTGATGTCAGTACTAAATGGCTTACTCCTTAATCCTGTGACTCCTTGATCTGGACTTTCTCAACATCAGGAAAATTCTTCCCATTTGAACATTAGAAATAGTCAGCTTGGCTTTGTGAGGAGCAGGTCATGCCTCACAAGCCTTATCGAATTCTTTGAGGATGTGACAAAACACATCAATGAGGTAGAGCAGTGGATGTGGTGTATATGAATTTTAGCAAGGCATTCGATAAAGTTCCACATGGTCAGCTCATTCAGAAAGTAAGGAGGCATGGGATTCGGGGAAATTTGGCTGTCTGGATACAAAACTGCTATCCAATAGAAGACAGAGGGTGGTAGTAGATGGAAAGTATTCAGCCTGGAGCTCTGTGACCAATGGTGTTCTGCAGGGATCTGTTCTGGGACCTCCTGCTGTTTGTGATCTTTATAAATGACTTGGATGAGGAAGTGGAAGGGTGGGTTAGTAAGTTTGCCGATCACACGAAGGTTGGTGGCATTGTGGACAGCGTGGAGAGCTATTGTAGGTTGCCACGGGACGTTGACAGGCTGCAGAGCTGGGCAAAGAAGTGGCAGATGGAATTCCTTCCAGAAAAGTGTGAAGTGATTCATTTTGGAAGGTTGAATTTGAATGCAGAATACAGGGTTAATGGCAGAATTCTCGGCAGTGTGGAGGAACACAGGGATCTTGGGGTCCACGTCCTTAGATCCCTCAAAGTTGCTCCCCAAGTTGATAGGGTTGTAAAGAAGGCGTATGGTGTGTTGGCTTTCATTGGCAGGGGAATTGAGTTTGAGCCGCGAGGTTATGCTGCAGCTCTATAAAACTCTGGTTAGACCACACTTGGAATATTGTGTTCAGTTCTGGTCACCTCATTATATGAAAGATGTGGAAGCTTTAGAGAGGATGCAGGGGAGATTTACCAGGCTGCTGCCTGGACTGGAGGGCAGGTCTTATGCGGAAAGGTTGAGGGAGCTAGGACTTCTTTCATTCGAGCAAAGAAGGATGAGAGGTGACTTGATAGAGGTGTACAAGATGATGAGAAGCATAGGTAGAGTGGACAGTCAGAGCCTTTTTGCCAGGGCGGAAATGACTGTTACGAGAGGGCATAATTTTAAGGTGATTAAAGGAAGGGGTAGGGGAGATGTCAGAGGTAGGTTTTTCAGAGTGGTGGGTGTGTGGAATGCTCTGCCGGCAGTGGTAGTGGGGTCAGGTACTTTAGAGACTTTTAAGCGACTCTTGGATAGGCACATGGAGGATAGTAAAATGTAGGGTATGCAGGGTAGATTGATCTCAGTAGGATAATAGGTCGGCACAACACCAGTGGGCCGAAGGGCCTGTACTGTTCTGTGTTCTGTGTTCTTCCTGCATCTCACCTGTCCAGTCCGATCAGGATTTTATATGTTTCTATGAGACCCCCTCCCCTATCTTTTTCTGTTTAATGAACATTACACTGAGATTTATTCCAGTGCCTGGTATTTACGTGCCTACACTTTTCCCACTTCAGTTACTTTGGCAACAATTTCTACGTATTACCTTTCAATTTTTTTTTTTCCATGCCGAGGAGATGCTGGTGTTGGACTGGGATGGGCAAGATCAAAAATCACGACACCAGGTTATAGTCCAGCAAGTTTATTTGAAAATGCAAGCTTTTGGAGCTCAGCTCATTGTTCCTCATTGTTCGACACTTTACTAACTGCTTTATCATGAGCAAAATGTGAAACACTGGCATGTTCAAAATAAATGTAGTATGTTATGAGTTTTCGACAAATTTAGCAATTTTTTTGAAGAATGAAATTAAGCCTGTTCTAGTGTTTGTGGTATAATGTTTTAATGTAGAATTAAAATAATTTGTTCCTTTCATTAAATATATGCTGAAATATCTTGTTTGGTTCTGTTTCAAGGATGATGGTAGAATTTCAATAAGTTTAATTACTGCAGAGTGTCTCAAAAAGTTGGACACTAAACAGCAGACTAATGCCCTGCTCAATCTGGTATGGAAGGAATCTGTGAGTGAAGATGTTTTCACAATGATGGCGTCTATCTGTCATACTCTGATGGTACAGCACAGAATGATGGTTCCAAAAATCAGGTAAAGCAGGTTATCTTGGGAGATTAGATTTATTGGTGAATTATACTAGAAAAATTAAAGCTGGGGACAAATTCTAATGCACATTAATCTCTTAATAGGATTCAATAATCTGATTTTAAAACAGTCCTTTATCCATTTTAGGCCGCAATCAAAATGTAGAAAATTTTCTTTGCATCTGTAACTGCTAGAGTTGTCTAATAATAGATCAGACCTAGTCCGGTTAATATTCCTCGTAGGTCAAAGTTAGTCTGTCAGGGCATTGTGAGATTGGCAGACTAATTAAGCTGTTTCATAAAACTGGCAGCAGACAATGAACATGATTGCATCTGTTCTCCATAGCTTGATTTTTTTTTCTGGAACAGATGGCTAACCAGAAGCAAGAGGGATGCCACTCCGCATCAAGCATGGCTGACCAGGGAGGATGTATGGTTGACTCCTTGTCCACCAGGCTGCCATGTGAACACTGCTTCCATTACTATTACCATCTTCATAACAGGGTGATTTCTCCTACATGGCCAGAAGGTTTTCTATGCTTTCAATATATATGGTGGAGATAGGGGAGCACTTACACCCACCTCCATTGGTATGAATATTTAGATGACCAGTCAATTTAATGTAAAAGTTTTTGTCTTGAGTGTCGTATTAATCAGTCAAATGTGAGAAATATCTTCAGTTTATGTATAATATTGAATTACAGTTTGACTTCAGGATCCTTTCCAAAAACTGAAGTCTCCGTGTTGTACTTAAAACTGTGGAAGAACGTGTGGGTTGTAATGTTTATTTTACTACTGTTTGAATCCTTGTTGATGTTGACACTAGGCAAATCAGATGCCAGAATGAAACCTGGCTTGAGAGACATTAGTTGTATTTTTGCTATTTGGTTACTGTGGTGGTCAGTAACTGAACATATTCACAAAGGGCTGCCAATGTACTTTTTATGCAAAAATATCAAACATTACCACATATGGGAAAGAGACTACTTTACACTACTCAATAACTAGTTAAAATTGTGTTATTACAAGTATTGGAAATAGACCAACTTGCTTACCCTCCACAAAAACCTTACAAATACTTGAATCTCCAATTTCCTGCCTTATCCCCATAACCCTTGATTTGCTTACAGATTAAAAATCTGTCTATTTCAGCCTTGAATGTACTAATATCCTTGACAAGCCTCTGTCATTAAGAATTCTACAGATTTGATGACCTGAGGGTTGTGAGAATCTCCTGTCTCGGCATGGTTCAGGTGTGAACTGTCGCAGAGGTACAGATCCCACGTTCCCCAGTCCTGGTGCCATGCTGTCTCTGCATCAAATTCCCATTGTGAATCAAATTCCCATTGTGAATCAAATTCCC